AGTATACATACTACATGTATATTGTATTATTGATCTGTATGTCATAGTATGTTTCCATGATGGAAGAGCCCACTGCTTAAGAAAGAAATCTGGTAAACAGGTCGCTGGGAAAAAAAAACAGTTTTAACTAGTTTAGAGTTTATGGATTGATTAAGGGATATGATTTTCATAAGAAAAAAAAGAAAAGAATTATTCAGTGGATGTAATAAAATAAGAAGATAACGAACAGTAATCAAGCTCAAATGTCCATTGGAACAAAGTAAATTGGAAGCAGAACAAATACAGACCTCTAAAAACATCGGAGGTTGGTTCCATGAAGGAGTAAACATCCCCTGTCGACAGGTCACACCCGCCGAATACTCCTTGTCATGATAGGGCAGACGGGAAAAAAAGACAATTCAGTGTAAAAATAATGACCTAACAATTTGTATGAAAAATGTCAGTCAACATTCGATTGTATTTGCTGAGAATGTCATTGTATCGACCATAGAATTGCGAATTGTTGATTTTAAACGAGACTGTTGATACAGTGTATCATCAACTTATTTGTCTATAGCTTGTCTCGCTTTAGAAATTGTTTGTACTTAGAACATGCTCTTGCGTATCGAATCAGCTGGGAGATATGAACTCCGTATGTAGTTGATAATGGTATATTGCTACAACAATAAGGGAGGTAGACTTTATCTTAAAAACCTACATTGATATTGTCAATCAGAGAAAGTCAAAATTTTTCATAACATCAACTACAGAGTACTTGTGTGTACAATCGGAACGCTTTTTTAACAAAATAATTTTACAAATGACAAGGTATGTAAATTTACGAGTTCCAATTTAATTGAAAAAGCAGTTGTGTATGATGTCAGAAAGCCTGGACTTTAATTTATCGTGGGGAATATGGTTGTATAAAGTTCTGAAAAGTCGTATGTATTGATGCTATTGATTTTGGTAAAATTTTGTGATTTCAGTTTCTTAAAGTAAATATTTCATAATTAGCAATACATGTAGATCTTACCTGTCTTAAGTTATTCGTGTTTAACTCATTCTCGAACTACCATAAGGGACAATCATCTATTTGGATAAAAGTTTGACATTCGGTACAAAAAAGCAGTAAGCTAGTGAATTTAATAAATTTTCCATCTTAAAAAATGGTTAACGTTTCATAAAGCTCACAGCAGATGTCGAACAACACAACACGTCTGTTATTGTGCATATAAAGAATTTTTTTTTTTTTATCTCTTTAATATGAAATATGTGAACTAATTATATCAAACAAAATACACCTTAACAATCTTAAAATGTATGACATTTTTATGCAATACTTTCTGGGCTATATCAAATATCAGATGCATTTTTATAAAAGCACCGCCTGGAACAGATTCATTGATATAGAAACATTGATTTGCTTGCATATAAGTCATTTAATATGTAAATTCAACCGCTAGAAGGACGGCTCTATATACCACAGTGTGTGCTTGACAACCCTAAAATCGATATCAAAACAGTTTCTTTTTAAAAAAAAAAACCTAACATATGAATATGAATGGAGAAAAGTCGTTCGATATTTATGCGTCAAAATGTCCAATAGATATTAATACGAATTAATTCCGAAAAAATAATGATTAAGGTAAGTATTTCGTAGGAGTAATTATGTCAAGTTCTATTTTGAGTCCCTATAGACTTTGTAAATACCAAATTAATAACTATTTTAAAAATTATTTTTGTTAAAATTAAGCAGTCACCAGAGATTAATTTCACCTTCCATAAATAAACAGAGGAAATAAATAAGATGCCTTTATAATGTAGACACCCTTAACTTGAAACATCTGACTGGATTCACGAACGTTACTTTGTGTATGCAAATGTTTATCTTGTAACCTATATTGTAACAAAGCTGTGCACTTCTTTCAGTCACGTAGAAGGACGTTTCTAAAGGTGCAGTTATATCATAACAACCTAAATCAATACAGAAATTGCAATTAATTGTGGTGATCCACAAAAGAAATTCAATAGCTCATTTGATCGATATTGCATGCACCGTTCCTTTGTAAATATTTCAATGATGTTATCGTGCTGGAATCATGAATACGGTGCGCCAAGTAGAGAAAACGAAAGGGTCTCCAGACATTGAATTGAAGGTGGGCACAAGAGTAAATTAGCTTTGTTTTCTATTAGGATATACAGGCAAAATAATTACAATTGAGGGGGTACTTTAAATAGTCATGACTGAAACGGTTCACCGCAATGTAGTGCTTAGCTGTATTTTTTGGCGGTTTGATACACGGTACAAAATCGGTTCACTTTTTTCAGCGGGATCGTCATTCAGTATGGTTTGGCAATCGTAAAAAACTGAACAGCAACCTAAAAATTCTTCCATCTATTCCTTGCCAAAATATTACAGTGTATGGAATTCCATATACGACAGCCAACGGCTTACTGCCATCTGCTTATTGCCACTGCCAACTGCTCACTGCTACTGTCAACTGCTCGCTGTCACTGTCAACTGCTTACTGCCACTCCAAACTGCTCACTGTCACTGCCAACTGCTCACTGCCACTGTCAACTGCTTATTTTTATCTTTAATACATATGCTTTAATTAATCCTATGATAGCATAACCAAGAAAAAAAATTGCGGATTCGGGAATTTTTAAATGGTGAAGTTGGATAAAGAGTATTTCCTCTTGAAAACACAAAATCTAACCCCCAAATTGCATCAAGCAAAATAATTCAATATAATTCAAAATTTTAACAGGGAAGATCCATATTAGAAATACTACAGAAAAATCATAAATACCTTTGCCTAAGGTTAGACATCTTGTGATATTTTTAATGTTTCTTTTTTCAAATGTTTGTGATTTTTTTCTCGGTGTATCTAATTATCGGCTAGGGTTACCAAGATCCTATAGTAAGTGACTCCTTCCCCCAACCCGCCTTACAAACAGCCTTCACATCAGATATAGAAAATCTAGAGATGATTTTTTCCTATAATTGTTATATTATTAAGTAACACCCTCTCCCTCGTCAAAATAGATTTTGGGTTACTTTGCTAATCAGGAAAAAAAAAAAATTTCAACAGTGAATTTTTCTTATCTGCATGAATAAACATTCATGGGTCCTATGGAATCGCGATGGTGTAATAACGATGACGCGATGCAGCAACAGAAATAAATAAATATTGTTGTCAAAATGAAATGGTATTTGAAGAAACAAGCATTCTGAGAGTATTGCATTAGCAATACTAGTCCCCTACCGGCAAGTGTAATCTGGTTCCCGTTAAGAATTCAAAATGCCATAATTCAGTCAAAAATCAATGAAGCAAAATGAAATGCAAACTTGATCTATAACTAATCAAGGTAAAGTCACATACCAAAAATCAGCTCAATATCTGAAAGCGTTTAGGAGAAAATTGCGGAAAACCCCTAAACATTGAAAAGGCCGTAATTTCGTCAAAAATCAATGAAGCGGAACGAAATGCAAACTTGAACTGTAACTCATCAAGATACACTCACATACCAAAAATCAGCTCAATATCTGCAAGCGTTTAGGAAAAAAGTGCGGAAAACCAAGTGGGACAGACTGACAGACAGACAGAGGGACAGACAGACAGACAGCTAGACGGACGGACAGACTCAGAGGAAACCTATAGTCCCCTCCGGTTTCACCGGTAGGGGACTAATAACAAAAGTGTACTTGTGGTTATACTGAGGAAATTCAAACTAAATTATTGTTATTTATTTATTTATTTATTTATTTTTTTTACATTTTTTTTCTTACGCTGTTAACCCATAGATAAAGTTTTTATGTGCATTTCAATATCATCTAACAAATATAATGTTGGTTAAAGGTCATGGTTTATTTCAAATAATTGGAAGGCATGCAATGAAGAAAATCTTACATGTAAAGAAAAGCTATTTTAGACAGCATACTGTGGAATCATCATTGTTTGTGGGGGATCAGTGTTCGTGGATTTCGTGAGAAATCCTTACCCACGAACATTGAAAAACACATGCATTGAGCATAAGAGAGTTATCTGTCTTGATAAAACATACAATTTCCCCACGAAATTACGTCCCCACGAACCAGTAAAAGTTTGGTTACGACCATTTACCCACACGAACAATGATGATTCCACAGTATCTCAAAAATCTGCTCATAGACCTCAAATAATGTAAATATCAACATTATCTCCTCTTGAAAGAGGGGGTTGCGTTTCACTTGAACAAACCTACCGAAGAATGCTTTGTGGCAAGTTTGGTTGAACTATTGGACCAGTGGTTCTGGAGAAGAAGATGAAATTGTGAACAGTACACAACACTCAATAAGAAGTGACAAGCAATAGATCTTCTGAAATACACATGTAACTGTTTTAATTGTCATCACTTCAATGATCTAATATTAGTACGAGAAAATGAAGTATCTATTTATATTATACTTTCATGTAAATTAGTTGAATCTGATTCGTCGAGAAACATTTGTTAAAAAACAGTATTACCCGCTGAATAATGAAGCCACGCCCACCAGCGTAGCAACAGTTAACATTGCTTGACGACGGGTGTTATTCCAAAAAATAGCGACTGCGCAGAATTTATGCGCGCAAGGTTCACTGTTATATGTATTTGTATAAAACATTCAGTATATTATGATAAATATTGCATGTAGTTGAGTGTAACATTGAAAATTTTCACCCCAAGAAAACCATTGTCAACCTCGGCTGCGCCTCTTTATAGCGAATCTTTTCACAAGTTTATCGTACGCAACTTTATATTGATTGCAGCTGTTTCTTAAATTATTGCAGATTCCCATTAATATTTCTTGTAAACATTTTTTTCTGAATGTCAATCGGATGTGGTGTTTCATTCGATTAGTTTACATATATTGACTTCAATTATCTGAACATAAGTCCGTGTTATGTTAAGTTTTGGAATAACTTGTTAATCCATATAAATTGTTTTATTCTAAAATAATAACGATCAAGTGTTTTTTCTTTCATTTTACCAGGTAGACGGTTAAACCATGGATAAACCCGATAGGAAAAGAATACAGAAAAATTGGAGTTATCTAAAGGAAAACATTGATGTGGGGGGTACAGTCTTCCTTGATAAGTTATTTGAATCCGTTTTTTCGCAAGATGATTTGGAAAGAGTTAAGGCTGAATGTACAACTGGGGATAAAGTTGATAGGTGCTTGCGCATTCTTTACACAAAGTCAGCTGGTTACAATGAGTTTTGCCAGGCATTAAAAGCCAGTCAGCATGATTTTGTACTGGAAACCCTTCAGATGACAGTAATTGACTTAAAGGAAATAGAAGAAGGTAAACGAAGGAAGAGAAATATGTTATTAAAAAGATTGAGCTACTTGTATGTTCATTTGATATAAACTTTATTCAGTTGCAAACTTTCGGATATGACTGACCATTGTCTTGTTTCAGATTTGAGGACACACAATACAAGTATTTTTTCAAAGATCATGAAAATAGCATATAAAGTCATGTTTATACATGTAAAATGAAGATGTTTAGCCGCAGAGTTTAAATTTTTCATTCAAGGTTTCACAATAAACTTGTAAAGATTTTTAAAAATGTGTCAGCAAATAAGTAGAATTTTGGAGAGAGTTTACAATTTCTTAATATTTTAGAAATTTGTTATTTGCATCTTACATGTGTATGTCAAAATGGATATATATTACCGAGTATCCATTATTTTCGTTCGTTTCATCTGTCCATGAACTTTTTTTTCTACTTTTAACATCTCATAAGGTTTTAGGCTTTCTATACTTGTAAGGTAACTGCTGTTTCTTTCTGAATTTTGCAATGTGTACAAAATGTATTTCAGAGGAACAGAAGATACTCAGTACTTTAAAGGAGATTCTACATGAGTACTATGAGCGAGCAGATCACACCTGCTTTGTGATGAAAGAAGTTATTCAAGATGACGTACAGTATGAATTCAGTCAGAAACAGCAGTTATTTGAAGAGTCCTGGGACTATATAGATAAAGCACTGAAGGAAGAGTTTCCTGATTCACTTTTCAAACGGAAGAGAAGGTACTACTCACTATGTGAAAGGTCAAGTTTAACGTTGATATATTGATATGATCCGTGTTACTTGGATACTTTGTTGCCTGAATAAAGCATATATAAGGCATGTCTTGAAATAGACTTGTAACAATAACTTAATAGATTTTTGAAGAAATGACTTGTCAAAGGTAAGGCAAATGTCAGATTTACTAGTAATGACTGTTATGACGATTTACTGTAATATTACTCCAAAGATAAAACATGAATGACTAGAATAAAATTGGTGTTAGGTCATTCCAAAGGGACTCGATTATTTAGTATGGACATTACATAATTAAGTAAAGCAGTACCAGTCAGAATTCTTGATATATTATAGGGGCCTTGTGAATTTGTATAGATGTACGGCAGTATTATTACTAACTATATCGTTGTCCCCTAGAAAAGAAAAGATCTATGGAATAAAAAGGAAAACGGATTATACAAGTGAAGAAGACGATTCTGTAACTGATCGGGAAAATGAAGACAGTCCTGCTAGGAAAATGACTTCAAAAAATCAGACAGGTTATAAAATAATATGTTATGCTTTGACTTTGTAGTGGGCAACTATTAATCTTTTTAGCGTTATTGTCATTATGTAGCTTTCATTGTTAAATTTATTCAATACTGGATTTTATAATAATCAATTGTAGACTCTTTGAAGGTTTATATGATTTAGTATTCACCACAAAAAAATCTATATTGACCTCGGCTTTGCCTCGGTCAATCTTTAATTTTTTTTCTAATGGATATCAAATCAGATTAACCCCTCACAAAAATGTATTATAGTTACATGTAACTATAGTTTACTGTAGTTAACTATAGTATCAAAGTTTTTATTATATTAATTAAAAGTAGTTTTACTATGGATTTCAGATTGTGATATTTTATGTTCTATAGTTCATACATGCATATTATTTTTCATTATTATTAAATGGAAATATTACTTGAATATTAACATATTATTTTAAAATTTTATATCATTGTTATGGAATTTAAGATATTTTAAACATTAATATTTTCAAAAAAGTTCTTAAGTAAAGTTCCATAGTAATTCAAAGCATTTACTGTAGTTGACTATATAGTTAAGCATAGTAAATTTTTGTAAGGGAACGCCCAAAGAGTCCATAATTGTATATCGGTGCATAGTTGTTTTAATTTTTTATATTATTCATAGGAAATGAAAGTCAAGGAAAAATGTCTACAGTCACAAAGCCATTAAAGGATAAAGACGTACATGCCCTTTGCGCTATTTTGAAAGCCAGGTTTCTAGAAAAAGGTATCGAACAATCAATTTTAGAAATCTTTGTGAAAGAGGACGTTAACGGGGAAGTGTTTTGTACACTTTCGATGGAGGATATGCATTATCTGTTTCCAAAGGAACGCTTACCTAACTTTTCATTTGGGCAAAGAAAACTCATCTTGAACATTCGTGATGAAATGGTACAGGCAGAAAAAAATGGACTTCTATTTCCTGATAACAATCCGGAAGAAGAACAATCCGATGTTAAAGAAATTGGACCAGGTGCAGAATATTCAACAGATTATCCAGTTTCAGACAAATTTCGCGAAACATTTAGAAAATTTGGTTTCGCTGCCATCGATAGGGATAAATATCTTTTTGATTCCATCCTTACATCAGAAAACCAAATTACAAACAGTCTATTGGAAACGGTGCATAATTTCATGTATGAAGAAATGGATGAAAATTTGATCCCAGACTGGATAGCTAAAACATCCATTCCTTATATAGCTAGCTGTTTAAATGAACGTGTGAATGGTACGATTCATTTTGGAGTGAAGGTACTGCCCAATGAATGCACATTGAAAGGAAATATAATTGGACTATTTGCCAACAAACAGAAGATAAAACGGCGTCTATTTGAAGCAATACGGAATGCCTTTTTTGACGATGATTTTGAAATTGTGAGTCGATGCGTACAACCACCTCAGTTTATCCGCGTTGTTAATTCAGAGAGTTCAGATCTTGAGGGATGTCAATCAGGAAAACGATTTATTGTTGAAATTGACATTATCCCTAGTTCTAGTCTCGTTGAAGAAATTGCGTTCTTTGTGAAAAATTTTCCATCTTCAAAGGAAGGACCCAAAAGATGTTTGTACAGATTTCAAAAAGGAACAGCTAATCCAATGATTCTGACAGGGGAACAAGAACACTCTTTTATGAATGCTAAGTCAAAAATAAACCAGGAACGAAGGAATCAAGAAGAAAATAGAATTCAGTCAACCGCAAAGACTACAGACCTGCGCCAACAATTTCTGAATTTATTTTCGGCAGGAAATGAAGTCTTACTGGAGGAAATTTATCCTATTTTGTTTTTGAGTTCTTTGGAAAGTGATTTGGGAGAGGAATTTATTGCAGAAAATTTTGAATTTCTGAATGACATTGATCCCAGTGTTATATTTGATTTTGACTCCTGTAGTGAAGGGAAGGGCATGTTTCATTTCGTTGAAGATGACCAAGAGAAGATTTTCAAAATTCTCACAACGGATACATTTGATAAGAATAGTGAAGAAAACTTGGGTAAAGATGCCTTAAACAATGCCTTGGAAGACCTGAGAACATCTGTCATCAAACCATGGGTATTCTGCAATGGTTATCAACCTATTAGAAAAGATCCCCTGAAGAAATTAGCCTGGAAACAAAGCAGGAGCAATGGATTTAAAGAGGCTATCCGGTTTTTCTATGGGGAAATACCAGTAGACCGTGCTATAATTGTATTCTTACTCTTCTCAAAAAACTACGACATTATGCTGGATGCTGCAGATGAAGTTTTATCTAAATTCCCAGATCAGTGGATTCTTCTTGCTACAAATGAATCTATTGCAAATCACTGGAAACAAAATTTATTGGACAGAGAAAGTGTAGACAAGAAGACTTTAGACAAAAGATGCATAATAGGGATGCCATGGAAACATGTCAACGAAATGATCAAAAAAGTCATGGGGACAAAAGCAACATCTATTAGTGAAATTCCGACGTCAAATGGCGCTTTCTGTCGCTTGAAAGAAAAAACAAGGAACGAACTGTTTGATCTTGATATTTTGAGTGCCAATGAGTGTGATAATGATCTCAACATCGCAAAAGATAATATAGAACAACATAGGAAGAACGTTGAAGAAGCCTTTTTTAGAGGAGGTCTTGTGCAGTGGTGGAACCTTTGGTTTGAAGAAGATCATGTGTTAAAACGCCATATGCACAAACGCCTAGTGGATGAAATTCGCAACGTCTGTGAAGGATATGAAATAGATGACGACAGCAAAGTTGGTATTGTTCGCTTAGTTCATCAACCAGGTGCTGGTGGCACTACTTCTGCTAAACAAGTTTTATGGGAACTTAGGAAAAAGTATCGATGTGCGGTAGCTCGTCGAATTACGGAGCAAACATGTGACCAAATCGAAAAGTTTAGATACTATGAAGAATCAGAAAACCCTAAACCACCAATCATTCTCATAGACAACGAAGACGAGGAAAAATTGACAAATCTTTTTGCTCGATTAGAAAATAGGGCACGGATCCTCTCCAGAAGAAGTGAAGCACCATGTAAGGTGTACTGTGTTTTTTTACTTTGTTTTCGACGTGCAAATCTTCCAAGGAATTCACTTGATCATACATTTCAGTTACGTCATGAGCTAAATCAACAAGAACAAAAGTGGTTTCAACGCAAAAACGATCATCTTCAAGAGCAGTATAAGACTAAAGGTGGTGTTAACCCAATGTTACTTATATCATTCAACATGCTGAAAGAAAATTTTAACAAAGATTACATAAAGAGAGCTGTGCAAGAATTTGTGAATGATATAAAAAACGAGCAAGAACAAGCTTTGCTTTGTCATCTTTCTCTGATGAATACATTTGACTTAGATTTTCAGTCTGTGCCAATCAGTGCTTTCGATCCACTGATGACAAACTTCAAAAACATTAAATATATAGCCTTTGGTTCGGTTACACAACAGAGACGAGGATTTCGAGAAACATCTTGGGAAGTCAATCTCAATTCTTCATTGTTGGTGCTTGTAAATAGAAGTGCAAGGGTGGATTGTAGCAGTCAGCTAAAAGGGTTTTGCATCATTAACCAATTGTTTGCAAGCGAAATATTTACCTACATTTCATCGAAGAAACACATGACAACAAGTGAAATGATGATGCAATTCCTAGGTTCTACAGTTTTTAAATCGTACAACAGGTCATATGAAGCTCTTAAAAAGATCACTAAAGATATCATGAAGAAGCGTGAACTGTTGTCTACGGGAAGGAAAGAGTATTTTTCACCACTTATCATGGAGGTGATAAATAAAGAGAGTGTTGATAATGCTGCAAAAATTTTAGAAATGGGATTTGAAATGTTTAACGATGCTATGATTGCGCAGCAGATTGCTCGATTGTACATGTATGCTAAAAACTGGGATAAAGCTGAAAATTTTGCGAAAATTGCAACACAGATGAAACCAGAAAATTCATATTTGTGGGATACATATGGTCAGGTATTTAAACGTCAGTTAACAGACATGTACTTAGAAACGTCAAAGGAATCGTCAGAATTGCAAGAGAAGGATGCGGTTGAGGCCATTAAGCTTGGATTTAAGGCAATACAGAAGTTTAATCAAGAACAAGAAAAGAGTGAAAAAGAACATGGCGTTAAATTCAATGACGCTGGGTACTTCGCGGAGATGCGGACAGTACTTATCCTACTTGAAATTCTGCATTTTTGTCCTGGAACCAATGTCCCACGTAACCTTAAAAGATTTCTGAATGATAGTCATTATATACCAACATTCTGTAAGAATTTATCAGAAGAAGCAATACAGAGAATAAAGAGTTTTCAATTTCGAACAAACACGGTAATGAGAATAATTGAAGAGCAAAGTTCGCAATTGAAGAGTGATATTATGAACAATGCAACTGTTTGCAAACCAGATTTCACACAACGAAATTCTTTAGCGTACTTGCGAGAAAATTTAGATAACTACTTTGGAGAGAATTCTGATAATATTCCTTCGTCACTGAATGAGCAAGATAGGGCGGAATTTATCCGTCGTAGAGTTCGAAGACTTGTCGGAAACACCTTGACAACAGTATTAAGATTAAAATCAAAAGAAGATGGACAATCAATACTCAAAAATGTTGAAGCTTTGCTGTTTCAAAACTGTAAATCAGCATACTGCACAGTAACTGATATAATACAGTTGGTAAGTGTTTCTATCGTAAGGAATCTATACAAGGAAAACGCAGATGATGAATATAGAGGGTTATTACAGTGGAGTAAACGGGCCTTAGAAATGACAGGAAAATCTGAAGAGAGACCTTCTTTAGAGATATACATGTTTCTTGTTTTGTTGCACTGGCCAACAGTCCGAAGATACGAAAAATTTGCAGACGATCTGTGTACAGTTAAGCAGCTTCAAGACGTCATCAAAAAATGGAAAAGTATCTTTTTTCAGATTTATCCAAGACAGCGTGAAGACGCTTTCTTGCACCGAGGAGACACTACATTTTTCTTCCTTGGACGTGGATCAGCGTTTAGCGAGATAGTTTACTATGAAGATCTGCATGAAAAAGGCGATTCTAGATATTTTCGTGGAGATTCAGTTTGGCGGAAACAAAATGTTAGAGATCGACTTCAAAGGGTGCAGGGAATTTTGAAACCACAGGGTTTGGAAGTTTTAATCGATATTAAGAGTCCACGAGGAAATATTGAAACACTAGTGATAACAACCTCTCTTCCGGTTGCTCAGAGACATCTTTGGAATAAGAAAGTTTATTTCTATGTAGGATTCAGTTGGTCTGGCCCAAAAGCGTTCGATGTTTCTCTGGAAGAGACTCCTTCCTTGGAAACACCAAGGCCTATTATGTCTACAGGTGGATCTTCAGTCAAGGTTAACAGTGGACTTCAAAAATATCGTGATGTTAGCAATCATGAAGACTACCAGAAAAAAATGAAAGAATTCAAACATCTTCTCAAGAAAATTGAACAGCTAAAGAAAATGAAAAGCCTAACGGAAAGAGAGGTAATGTATTTATAAATGTGTTTTGTCCGCCATATTATTTGTGTTTCCCTGACACCTGACTTCATGTGCTGAATTACTTTCTTTCTGCTGAATTATCCATCTATTGATATTTTACAAATTTTATTTTCAGAGAGAGTTGGTAATGAGAGAGGGCAAAATAATCAGCGAAAGAGAAGATTTAATGAAAAGAAGAGAGGAGTTTCTGTCAGGGGCATTTTTTACGTAGTATATCACGGACATACGTTTCCTGGGGGTTATTCAAGAATACTTTTTCATGTACTTCTTGCGCCAGACACAACTACTAAATAATATTGAATCATCTATATCTTTTAACGTATGACCTTAAGATGTTATTCAATGAAAAGATATTTGAATTCTTGCTGTTGAATTTCAGTATGATGTACAATTTGAACGTAATTACTGCTTTATAATTATTCGTAATTTCTGATTTTGAGAATTTTAAGACTATCAACGAGTGTATGTTTTGGAAATATGCTAATTATCTAATCATATTACCGTAAAATGTAAACTATTAGAGCAAATGAAAAAAATATAGGATCATTTACATAATTTTTTGTCGTATATGTTTCAAATAATGAATGGTTTTATTTATGCTTTACAATTTTATATTATATATTACAAATGGTATGATTCTTTAAAGTTTTACTGATTTGAAATAGTGGGTTCTATTGCAAGCATATTCTGTTAATTGTAACACTGCAAATTAGTTTTAAAATGTTTCTTATTTTATAATTCGCCTCAAAGGGAAATCATTATAATATTTCATCCTAACTTGATTTATCTTATGCGTTACTGTAAGCTTGAAACCTTAAAGATTTTTTTTATAATAAATGATGTTGTTTGTATCAATTCTATCCTCGGCGACAGCGAAAGGTACAATAAATGTAGAAAAATGCAAAGCATACGGAAGTCATCCTTCTAAACAAAAAAAAAGGAATTTACTTAACACTTGATAAAACAACATCGGAAAGTGTTTGTATAAGCCTAAACGTACCATATGACATGCAGGAATATTAAGTTCATTATTCGTGCATGCTTTTTGTTGAAAATGTTATTACAAGAAACAATGTTTTAAATTATCATGTCTAGATTATTGCAGCCCGGAGGACCGGGCTGCTCTATACATATAAGTTTAAGTGTTGGTATATGGGGATTGAGGTGGGAGAAGTTATTCAGAATTAAAGGTTTTCTAAACATTAAAAAGATTGTTAATCAGAATGTTCTTTCCCTTTATAAATTACGAGATACACAATAATCTTACTTCCATAAAGTGAATCTGTAAAAATATATATGTTTTTCATATTTAATATATAAAGTTGCTTATCATTTACTATCGAAAAAACGACAGGTCCCTTTTTTTAGAACATCGAATTTTACTTATCGCATAAAAACGTAAAAACGTACTTCACACAGATCGAGTTTTATAATCTTAAAGTGAAAGGCATTTTTGAAAATAGGTGATGCATGTGTCTGGTTTCAAATTATATTTTATGCAGCCAACATTTACTTGAGGAATTGATAAAGTTTAAAAGGGTATCGTTTTTGTCCGATTTTCATCCGACTATAAGTTTTCAAAATAGTCTCTACTATCGTCTCCATCATTTAGACGCATGCCTTTTTTACACATATCGAAGCGGTTTGATGATCAAAACTCATTTCCATTGTTTAGTTTATTTATTTCCCGGGCGACAATTGATGGTTACATCAATGTTTTCTTGTTTTTTCTTTGATGAAGATACTAAAGAACGTTAAGGACCGAATAATCGTATTGAGAGGAATCAGCTTATTCATTATATACAAATGTCTTACGAGCTGAAGTCTGAAAGAAGAGTTACAATCGCGGTTGCCCTGATGTAATATGGTTATCTTTATTTTAGAACATTGGTAAGTATGTTTCAACATGTGCACAATTGTATAAAAGAAAGTTCAAAATGTTTTTTTTGTGTATTTAGATAATCAGTGGTACACCAAATTCGTTATATAAAACTGTATTAAATATTAATACCGTTCAAAACAATTCTCTTATTGAAATTTACATCATTCATCATAGTATTAAAATTGAAATGAATTATACTTTTAGTTACAACTGTTGCTTTTTCGGTATTGAACCTAGGCATGTGAAATCGATTTTGACAATTTTCTCATCTATCATACTGCAAATATATAATATTTAACAGCAATTCACCAAAAAGTATACTTGTTTCGAAAATAAAAACGGAAAAAGATACATAGGTACATCACCTGTACCTTAGTAAATATTCTCATAATGGCTTTAATATCTGTCTTATATGGAATCCGGATAGGGTCACGTATTCCATAGTTTTCTGTCACTGGGGGCCACAATAAAAATCTACAATATTCTTTCATACTGTATTGGCAAATTTTTAGAAAATTATTAAAATATTTCTAATAAATTTCAACTTTTAGCACTTATCTTGCCAACACTTTATCTAATGTATAATGAAGTCCATGTATTTATTTCAAAAAAATGACAAATGAACCAAATCATTTCATTACACCTTATTGCCATATTTAGACAAGATTATGTTTTTTACCGTGCCTGCTTGTCCACAATAATGACTAATTTCCGATATTTTAGAAGTGCAAACCTTCCAGAGGTGCATTATGTAATTTTTAACATGTTCCATCTGTATGTGGTGGAAACTGACGAAGGGGCAAACCGAGAGAGTATCATGTAAATTTTGCATTTACCTTCATCTAGTAAATTCACTTTAATTTTTAGAACAGAAGTTCGTATTATAAGAAATGGGGAAAATATATTTTATTTTAGATTTTTATAATTAATCTTTATTATACAAACGTCTGTACACAAAATGTTTTGAATTTTCTAGATGGAGATAAATGTAAAAGATTTCTGACCTTTTATTTCCTTGAATGATTTTTCCCTTTGAAGATCAAACTTAATATGTCTTTCTGACATAATTTCTATTTATCAATAAAGTTATGATTATGACTTCTTTAAGTAGTCATAATGCATAATTTTATTGATAAATAGAAATTATGGCTGAAAGACACTTACCTTAGAAAATTTTGATAGATACAAAACATTCACTATTGGACCAAAGGGACATTTTCAAACAAGGAATTTTTCATTTCTTAAAGACCCCTTTATCCTGCAACCTGCTCAATTCTGATCATTACACTGTAATTAATATTAATAAAATACAACGTTTTAGTTGTAAACCCCTTTGAAATTGGTGAAAAATAAGCATTTTTGTAGTTTTTTGTATGTAAACATACTATATGTGAATAAATGTTCCAAAAATCTTTTCTTATGTTTAACGCATTAAAAATCAAACATATATTATTCATAAAATACAACGTTTTAGTTGTAAACCCCTTTGAAATTGGTGAAAAAATAAGCATTTTTGTAGTTTTTTTGTATGTAAACATATGCGCTCCCCCCCCCCCTCCAAAAAACACAAAGCATAAGTATGAATTTGTAAAATGACAGTCCATATTACCTGTAAAAAGGAATTTTTGTTTCACCGGGGGGGGGGGGGGGGGGGAGGGAGATGTTTTAGAAATATTTTCCGTTTTCCGTTGATCTCTATAGTGAAAAACACAAGTTTTACCAAAATTATAGAGTTATCTCTCTTTGTTTTCCCAAAGAAGTAATGTTTTATGAAAATTCATATAAATATCTATACAAATATGAAAAATCATTCAAATATGTTAACTTTTGAAATTTGACTTGGAGGTATAGGCCGGGGAACAATACTATCGTTCGCAGTTCTTTGGCACACATAATGTATACACTTGTTCCATAAATAGCAGCTATCTCTACCATCGGCTCATACATCGTGTCTGAGAGAGGAACGAACGACAACTCTGCATAGGAGATTGAAATAGCAGATGTTATCTAATGTTTTGCTCCATGTTTGTGACGTCACAATGCGAAAATGACATCAATATGTACAAGACTTGTGACAAAAAAATGCATGGTTGACTCTGTCGTACTCGAGCAACGAACGGCTGTAAAATTTAACGTAGATCTATATCTTGGAAATTCCTCTGCAGTAGCATATAATAATTTGCACAAGGTTTATGAAGAAAAACTACTACTTGACAGAAGTTCAATCATAAATTGAATTGATTATTTTAGTGAAGGAATGGAGATGGTTAAAAATGATGTTTGTTCTGTTGCCCAGTGAAAGCAAGCTGGGGAAGAGACGTGTCTTAGTTGAGTAATATGTTATGAAAGTTCGCCTAGTTACAATTAGAAAAATAGTTGAACACCGGTATCTTAACAATAATATAATCATGAAATCCCTAAAATATCGTTTACTCTAGACTTTAAACATATCAGATATGATAAAAAGAAGCTTAACGACGTTGGATCCTGATATTTAAAGTCTTAAACTTTTTTTGTCAAGTATATTTTTAGCTTCTACACACATAGCTTAATTAAAAATCAAAACAAAAAATGGGGGTCAATATGCTTCTTTTGGCGCTACAGTACATTTAAAATGACCTCTTTGCACTGAATTTGTGTCTTAATCAAAAATAACATCTTCGACGTTTTCCCTCCAATATTTTTTATCCAAATAAATCATGGGACAAAGTATGCTATTATTCTCTCTTAAAAAAGACACATTAAAATTGTGACCCAAAAAAAATTTCAAATTGCTTCGCATAATCAATTATTTGACCTTTCTGCACTCACAAAATGTCATTTTTCGGGCATTAAAAATTTAACAAGCAAGAAAAATATTTTAAAGTCTTAAACTTTTGCTGAATTTAAGTAGATTGATCAGAGTTATCTTATATATTCAGAAAAGAAAATCAAAAGTGGAGGTCTATGATGTTATTTTTTAGATATTACTAAAAAACTGTGAATTTTATGATAAAATTGGCTCAATTTTTTCCTGGAGTTTCAGAATATATTTTCTATATTTGTCACAATATGATGATAGAATTCACAAAAAACTGATTTAATTAATATTTTAGAACCAGCATTAAACATTTCAATGCACAAAATAGCTCTGTGTGCAACCAGCATGGAAAAATATGAATCTAAATTTAACAGTACTGTATATATTTCAAAGGGAAAAAATGATCATTTTCTTCTAAAAAACCTTCCGCCACAAAATATAGTTCCTGGCTTAATCCTATTTGAATGGAATTGCGTTTTTTTCATTGGATATAGTATAATTTGCATTGTAGAATCCAGATTTAATGTTAGAACTTAAAAATGATGCAGAATTTTAGAAATAAAGCTCAAGACCAAAATCTGCTCAAAAGCTCAGGATCGAACGTCCTTAAGGCGCCCACACTTTATCCACATTGGATAAACGACGCCCCCAAGACAGAGGACTCGGGTTGTGATGGCCATCATACTCATTCTGGGAAACGATATCTTTTCCCACCCATCCCATTGCCGTGATTTGGCCATTTCTGACAAAAGTAATGTTCTTGTTATAAAAAATAACTTGCATGGTAAGAAATATAAGACTCGGAAAAATCTTTTAGCTTCTGTGAACAGAA